AACAGAATAAACAACCTGGAAACCAGCACAGACCAATTATGGCTTCTGCTTTGGCTGTGGGGCAGAAAGACAGAGACTTTCTACAATCTCAGGATCATCAATACCTCAGATTCCGACACCCTTTGGCCAGCCAGTGCAGGCTGGGGAAGGTTCCAGCAGCACATCAAACACCTCAGGCCCAGTGTGGGACCCCTGGGTGGGTTGTGGAGCTGGGAGTGGGGTCAGTGACCTCCCGAGGCCACAGGCAGGGATCCAGGCCTGGCAGGGCATCCCTGGCAGAGGCTGCTGGGTTTGGGACCCCCTCTGCTCCTGGTCCTGGTGCCAGCAGCTCCAGGAGCAGATGCACAGCGGTGGCCGAGTGTGCTGGGTTGTGAGCCAGGGGCTGGTGGGTCAGGGAGGCACTGGGCCTTTCTGGAGAGGTGACAGAGTGTGTGACCTTGCTTTAAACCAGTTTAAATTCGGAGACACCTTGGGGTCTACCTCACCATGGAATCACTGAATCACAGAGTGGTTTGGGTTGGAAGGGACCTTAAAGTTCATCCTGTTCCACCCCTGCCATGGCAGAGGACACCTCCCACTGTCCCAGGTGGCCCCAAGCCCCAGTTGAGATCCAGGGGCAGCCACAGCTGCTCTGGAATCAACTTTTTCTAAATTAATATTTTGATTAAAAAAACTAAAACTAAACCAAAACGTTTAAAAAATGAAACCATTCTCCATAAAACCAAGTGGGTAAGCCCACATCCATGACAAGTGTGGTGTCTCCCCAGGGACACGGCGGGGCAGGAGCGCTTCCACACCATCACCACCTCCTACTACCGAGGGGCCATGGGCATCATGCTGGTCTACGACATCACCAACGCCAAGAGCTTCGAGAACATCAGCAAGTGGCTCAGGAACATCGACGAGGTGAGTGCCAGGCCAGGCCAGGCCTCCCCTGAGCTCTGCTCTGCCAGGCCTTTCCAGCTTCCCTTTTTCCCCGTCGAGGTCAGGATTGAGGCACTCGAGAGGATAGGTCACATTCACACTCAGTGTTTATTATTTTTTATTTATGTTAGTCTCACAGCAGTGAGTTCTGCAGTTCTTCACTAACAAGGCACAAAATGGCCAACTGTCTCTTGGTACAGGGTCTTTTATGGTTAAATTATCAAACTAAAAAATTACACAAATTCATCCTCCAGGAGTTCTGTGATGGCAAGAGAACAGCACAACACAGTTCCTGCTTTTGTTAGGCTGCTCCCAAGAGGAACAAATGTTTGGATTTCCCTAGAAAGCACAGAGATGGCCCTGTAGAACTGAGCACAGGTGAGGACTGTGAGGCACTGCTCAGTGGAGCCCTGAGGCTGGAGAAAGCAGCACAGCGGAAATGGGATGTTGGGATTTGGATTTCCCAGCATGAGAAGTGGGACACGGTGGTGTTCGTGGAGAAGTGCCCTGTGTGGTGGGAACAGGACAGGGACAAGGCAGCACAGGAGGAGACTCAGCAATGGGTTGGAGTAAATTTGGAACTGAGGCCTTTGGATTCTGCAGTTGCTTTGTTAAAAATCTCAGAGGTGTCCCAGGTGAGGGATGGATGTCATTGGTACCATCAGGGCTTTGGGTGGCCTCGAGTTTTCAGTGTGGCCCACAGCTGATTTCAGGTGCATTGTGGAGGCTGTGGGGACATTTGACAAATTAGGGACAAAACAATCCTGTTTTTGTTACTGGAGAAGCTCAGGAGTGGAGTGTCTTTGCAAAAATCACAGAGGCATTGAGATTGGGAAATCCTTTGGAGCTCATGGAATCCAACCATCCCCTGCACTGCCAAGGCCACCACTGCCCCCGTGTCCCCAAGTGCCACATCCACACAGCTTTTAAATCCCTCCAGGGATGGGAACTCCACCACTGCCTGGGCAGCCTGTGGGGAGTGAATTTTTCCCAGGTCCTTTCCTGCCCGGCAGCTTCCCATCCTGGGGTGTTCCATGGGCTTGCTGTGACCCCAGTGCAGGACCCAGCTCTTGGCCTGGCTGTCCCTCAGCCTGGCACCCAGCCCATGGCTCCAGGCTGTCCTGGTCCCTCTGCAGAGCTCCCTGCCCCCAGCCCATCCACATCCCACCCCCCTGGGGCTGTCCCTGGGCTGAGCCAGGCTGGTGCCCTCCGTCCCCGTGCCCAGGATGTGCCTCCATGCCCAGGTTTATCCCAGCAGGCTGCACCTAGCCAAGCCAGCACCAGCCAGTTTCTCCAGGAGAATGCCACGGGAAAGAAAAGGTGCCAAAGGCTCCAGCAAAGCCCAGGCACCTGCATCCACACCTTTCCCTCATCCATTAAGGTCACACTGTCACAGAAGGAGATCAGGTTGGTCAAGCAGGACCTGTCACAAAGCCAGACTGATCTCCTGCTTTTCCTGCACGTGCTGGGTGGTCACAGCCCAAAAGATCTGCTCCAGGACTTTCCCCAGCTCCTAGAGTTCTGGATCCTCCTTCAGTGCTTCCCGGAGCCTGGCATCACACTGGCCAAGCTCCAGGGAGACAGGACCTCCCCAGCTCAGCAGGACTGATGAGAAATGATCCACAGTCCCCCTCCTGCAGCCTGTGCTGCAGGGAATGTGCTGGGCCTGGCATTGCTCATCCCTGCCAGGCTGGCACTGCCTCCTCCCGCCCCACGCCGTGCAGGAGGCACCGACCCCTCCCCTCCTTCTCCCTTTGGAGAGCCTGCCCCTCTCTCTGCTTTCTGCTTCCCATTCCTCCCTCATTTCTCTGTCTGGGTCCTGTCCCTGATTTCCTCCCCAGTCCCTCTTTCTCCCCTGGCTCATCCCTCACATTGTGCAGTGACAAAGCAGGGAGGAGAAAACCATTAATCAGTGCTAGGCAGTCATTAGGAGGCTGGGGTTAATTAACAGCTCGTTCCTCTGCCACTGCAGTGCCTGAAGCTCCACGGTGGGCGGAATGTCCCCAAATTTCAGGTGCAGATGGTGGCCTGGCCACGCCAAAGTGAGGCAGATATTTTGGGTGTGCAGGGGGAGGTGTGTGACCCTGTAACCCAATCCCGGTGTCCTTCCAGCACGCCAACGAGGATGTGGAGAGGATGCTGTTAGGAAACAAGTGTGACATGGAAGACAAAAGAGTTGTCCCTAAAGCAAAAGGTGAACAGGTGAGTATCCAACAAAAACTTCTTTATCCAAGCCAGCAAATCACCCAAGATTGCTGCCTGCTCCCGGGGGTTGGGATGCCCCAGTGGGATGTGCCACAGGGAATGAATGCAGGAGCTGATGGATGTGAATCCTGGGAATGTTTTCTCAGAAACTGCCAC